GTTTGGCGTTAGTGATTCTAAGTATGTCAACCACATTGATCAACTACCAATGGATGGCGTCTCCGACCATGAAATGTTGTTCCTGTTCCACTTTCATAGCCAAATNTCTATGTAATGACCACTCCTCTAAAAGTTTGATAAACAACTTCCTATCGCTAGGCATTACTATTATAAACAAATATGCAACCCGCTTCGCTCCGCACTGCAAACCTAGTCTTTTAGATGTGTTTGGCGTTAGTGATTCTAAGTATGTCAACCACATTGATCAACTACCAATGGATGGCGTCTCCGACCATGAAATGTTGTTCCTGTTCCACTTTCATAGCCAAATATTAGCAAGAGAACTGCTTTTTAGGGACTTTAAGCGAGTAAATCAAAGTGAGTTATTCAAGCAGGCAGATCTGCTTGACTGGAATACATGTTGGAGATTTACGACAGTTGACGAAAAGTTACAACATTTTAATTCTCTAGTTGGCCTGTTATTTGATAAGTTTGTTCCTTTAAGGAAGGTAAGGGTTCAAAATAGCAAAAAGCCGTGGTTCACCAGTGAGATTTTGTCATTAATTAAAGAGCGAAGTAAAGCATACAAACGCTGGAAAAACCATAGATGCTCTGACCTGTGGGAAATATACCGAGTAGCCAGGAATAAGGTTATGGCAAGCACACGTTATGCTAAAAGAGCATACTTACAACATAAGCTCAATGAAAACCTCCCCTCAAAAGTTTTGTGGAAAAACCTCAAAACGTTTGGTTTTTCTAGTGAGGACAATGTCACATGTAACTTAGATCCAGAAATTTTAAATGCCAATTTTCCCTCGTCAAGCCACTCAGTTTCATCTGCTTGTGTGCCCTCTATACCTTCATATGTGGATGATAATGTGTTTCAATTCCAATGTGCGACGGATGAAGATTTAGCTGAGTGTGTTTATGCTGTCAAATCAAATGCTACAGGTGTTGATGGTATCAGTCTAAAGTTTNCTGTCAAATCAAATGCTACAGGTGTTGATGGTATCAGTCTGAAGTTCTTTAAAATGATTCTTCCTTTCGCGATCCGATCACTTACGCACATTATTAACTTTTGCCTTACATCCTCCACTTTTCCTACCCTCTGGAAAATAGCAATTATAATACCACTCTCGAAAGTTTTCGAAAAATGTTTAGCACGACAAATCACCACCCACTTAAACAAAAACTGTGTACTGAGTGATGTTCAATCGGGATTCAGAAGTCAGCACAGCTGCTCCACAGAAATGCTGAAAATTTTTGAAGACATACGACCAGCTTTAGACAAAAATAACTTGACAACGATAGTACTCCTTGATTTCACAAAAGCTTATGACACCATCGACCACAATTTATTATTAGGTAAACTAGGTAGTCAATTTAGGTTTGGAGCTTTTTCTATACAACTAATAAAAAGTTACTTAACGGGTCGACTACAGCAAGTTCACTGTGGTAACAATTACTCAAGTCTAAAGCCAAATACATTAGGTGTGCCGCAGGGTTCCATTTTGGGCCCCATATTGTTCTGTGTCTTCATTAACGATATAGTGAAGTGTTGTAAAAACGCATCAATCCACCTTTACGCTGATGATACCCAGCTGTATCTGTCAAGGCCCATTGGTCTTGTTGAAGACTTGATTTCCAGGCTTAACGAAGATCTGTCTCGGATTTCTAACTGGGCAGTTGCAAACAATTTAAAATTAAATCCGTCAAAAACGAAAGCAATCGCGCTTTCCCCATCTGGGTTTGACCTTAGCGGTACATCTCCGATAATACTCGATGGAATAAGTATTAAGTATGATGGTATTGTAACAAACTTGGGATTCAAAATTAACTCAAGATTGTCATGTGTGGACCACCTTAACTTCGTAGTTAGTAAAATTTAATATATCCTTAGAAAGCTATACTATAATGCTTACCAATTACCACAGCAAACGAAATTGAAATTTGTTAGGGCACTCATATATTGTAATATTGATGATGCTTCAACTTATAAATTACAAATTGCTCTAAATAACGCGGCAAGATTCGTATTTGAAAAAAGGAAGTATGACCATATCTCCCATTTTGCACAACAGATTCTAGGCAGAGATTTAAATGCGTACTTTAAATTACGTGCGCTCTTATATCTACATAAATTATTATATTGCCGTCAACCATCTTACCTTTATAAAAAAATTAAATTGGGTCAATGTCCCCGAACTCTTAATCTCGTTGCTCCAAAACACCTTACTTAGTTTCGGAACGCATGTTCTTTGTTAGCACCATAAAATTATGGAACTCCCTACCGTCTGACATTAAAAATATAAAGCAAGCAAGGTGTTTTAAAATTGCAGTCTCTACGTTTAACTTCTCAGCTTCTCTTTGACATTCAACTAAGTTAAGTACTTACTCTTGTTTATAATGTACTCTAATTCTTTTGTTTAATAATATCTGTATCTAATAATAGGTTTAAGTTCATTTAGTTTGTAAGTTGCTTGTTCAGAAGAAATATTGTAAAAGAAAATGTACTACTAAAAGACTGGGTCTTACTTTGTACAAATGTTATATAGCTAAATAAATAAATAATTGAAAATCGTGCCTCGATTGTAAATCGATGGCAGAGGCTCAAGGCTCTACACCACACGTTTTGCAAACGGTGGAAAAGTGAATATCTCACGGAATTGCAGAAACGCAACAAAATGGAGACATCCGCAAGCCAATATGAAAATTGGAGACCTCGTGATCATCAAAGAAGATAACCTGTCGCCAAACGAATGGGGACTTGAAAGGGTAGTTAACGTCCATCTAGGTGCAGACAATAGGGCAAGAGTAGTGGAGAGGACAGGTTACTAGACCTGTAGTCTNAAGCCAATATGAAAATTGGAGACCTCGTGATCATCAAAGAAGATAACCTGTCGCCAAACGAATGGGGACTTGAAAGGGTAGTTAACGTCCATCTAGGTGCAGACAATAGGGCAAGAGTAGTGGAGAGGACAGGTTACTAGACCTGTAGTCTAGTTGGTTCTACTACCCCCCTGTGATCAACAACACAGCGAATCGCAACCAAGCAACGATTCCTCTTCATAAAAACCCAACTTATTCCACAACCACAATTCGCAACAAATACCGTCCACTTCAGCATACAAATATAAATCATTACTGCTCTCACGGCAGGCATCTTGAAAATAACGCATGCAAACCGCATATATATATGTTTCATAGACCAGGGCATGAATCACGTATGACGACAATCGTCTGAACGATATCGTGTCGAGATTGTCTTACTTCATAAAAATCAAATATTGTTTGATCGTTTGTGCGATATCGTCAACTCGATTCCAGTTTGGCTTCACGTAACAGTAACAGTAACACGTAACAGCAACACAAATGCATAAATCAGTGTTTTGACAACATCGTTTTGTCAGTATCGTTTGAACGACTATCGTTTCAAAGTTACGTGATTCATGCCCAGTAAAGCTCCAGTCTAGTCTCGACAATCGAACTTATAATATTCAAGTTTATTTTAAGTTATAACTCGATGCCTTTTTCTTTGGAATGCACCTTATTGCAAATCACTCTTAATCAAAAACTTTGAATACTGAGTTTTGCGTGAAAAAAAAATTGTCGAGTTTAAACTGTTAACAAACGAACCAACGGAAAGTAGGAGAAAGTAATCTTATAGAGAATGGTGCATGATACAATCATCATGGGCGATTGGCTGAATAAAAGGTTTAGCGAAAGTTGGTAGTCGACCAACTTCTTTGAAAACGATTAGTCTGAAAATGACAAGAGTTGGCACGCACATAAAAGCCATAAAAGCCGCAACCATAGCGCGAATTTATTTAACATAATCCACCACTATGGCCTTTCATCAAGAAAATTATTTACTCATTATACGTAAAACCTTCAGGTAATGTTCAAAGAAAGAGCTGAAACTGTAAGGTCTCACGGATAATTGATTTGCATGAGAAGGAGAGTGCAACCATAAAAAACAGTGTAGCAGTTGCGAACACTACCTATCGGCCTACTCTTTCAAATTACTGACTTTTGAAAGCAGCTCCAATTTCCGAAAAACGAACTTCCTGTTACTACTTCTAGTCTGTACTGACATTTTTATGCTCATGTCAAACGTAATAATCCGAGATTTACGCACAAAGCAGCCCCAAAGTATTCAAAGCATTATTATTTTGAAACTTCGTATCAGAATACTAAGTTATTTACGAGTATTTTAAATCGACTTCCTCATAATTCTGCACAAATTCGGCTAAAACAAAAATCGAGGTACACGGCAATACTGGTGTTAGCACTTGCAACAGAATTGGATTACTGGCAAGTTACTGAGTAACTGATAATCAGTGAAAACTCATGTCATATTCCGAATAAGAAATAGGCTTAAATTAAAAATTTTCAACCCAATAATCGGACGGATTCTGTGGGCAAAGTAATTATATGGGCTGGCCTTTAGCATCTCTGTTTTTATTATTTAAACTAAGTAACCACATCAATATTCTGCCTTTATCTGAACCCAGTGCTGAGATTAGGTCCAGATCCTCATAAATACATGCAGACTAATTGCTTAGTGTTTACACATACCTGCAAATTTATCCTACCCAGGGCATTAGAGTAACTCATCCTTTTAATAGTTCCGAGACGTGTTTGAAGTCGCTTGCAAATCGCGCTCCAGGGATGTTGCCTAATACGGAGGTCTTGCTGATCTACATTCCAGTGAGTCATTCTGCGCAACCCTTTTCTGCAATCAAAACGCGAGCATTTTTAGAAATATACGGAATGATATATCGATATAGAATTCTACTACATACAGCATACGAGTTGTGTTACCGGGCGAAGAAATCAATTTAGAACTCGCAACACTACTCGATGCGTATCTGCAATCTCCTTTGGCCACACACTATAGGTATGCCGAGTTACCCCGTGTCATAGCCGTAGATCAAATGACCTCATCATCGCGTGTATGTAATAGCAGCGGCGCCCAAGAGAAAAATTGAACTCAGGGCCTGTGCCAATTGATAGAAAAGTTCTCTGGATAGTAAATTTTTAACAGCTATGAGGTGAATAAAAATGTTTGATACGGCAGGGCTAGTGAAAAATTTGACAGCAAGCATTATCAAGAAGAAGAACGAACAACGCACGTATACACATAAATTAAAGAAAACAAAAGCTAGTGGAAATAAAAGAACATGGTCCCGCCGGCAAAAAAAATAAAGAAAAGCTATATAACTTGTAAGATTTAATTTCAGATTTACATATGAAAAGGCGTTATGTATTTTTTTAATTAAAAATACTATTTTACAGGGAGCAGTTCAGAACGCAGAATCCTTCTGGAAAAGCGCATTGACAAGGATGTTTGGTTCAGTTCAAAGAACGCCAACAGCAACGAAGGCTGGAAGTGAGTAAGAACAATATAAATAATTTGAAGACTTTATTAAGCAAATGACTTCGTACTCCACTGACCATCCGTGGCGCTTTTTGGGAATGTGAGTTACAATTTTTCGAAACGAAGCAGAGGACAACCTAAGATACATTTTTGTAGTCTTGTTATCGCCGTTCATAATGCTGCTTAGTATTTTGGAATAAACGTCTTGTTGCATGTACATAATACCCTAAAACGACATATGTTTTTATTGGAAACAATTGTACACGGTTTTAAACATTTTTGTGAACACACTTACCAGACGGTTTTGACGTGTTTTTATTTTTAATATTACTGCTAAAAGGTCTAATAAATGCATGGATTTTAGTTCCAGAAGGATTGAAATCATCAAAGGCAAATATTTTCTATATAATTGCTGCATTTTATAAATAGCAAACTCGATAGTCTTCTTGTGCATCAAAGCAACTGTCAAAAATTTCCAGCAGTAAAAAGTTACGAATTGGCACAGCAGAAATGTAAAATTTTCTCACCATAGTAAAAAGTTTTTCCACCATAGAACTTTTCTATCAATTGGCACAGGCCCTAAACGTTTTGTGCATAAAGTTGCTGGCAAACAAGTACGAATATAGCTTATTGGCTAAGTTTTACGTTTCACTTAATCTGCTTCTCAGTTTTCAGTTTTCACGGTGGAAGTATGCATTTCACTGCTTATCAAGTAGCGAGCCACTTTTAAGCACCTAATTGATACTTATTCGCTAGCGAGCTGCTCCACTTTTCCACATATAAAAGTGCACATGTGTGAATTTACAACTTTTCGTGCTTCTGCTTGTTTCTAGATCTTTTGGCTGCATTCTTCGCAAGCCCGTGAGGCCTAGTTATAGTTTCAATATTTTTTTGCACTTCCATAACTCTATAAGCACACCAAGTCCTGCAGGGATGAGCACTAACATCGATGTATTCTCGTACAGTAAATACAGAAATATCACAATTTGCGAGAATGCACACCAAAGAGTCGTACGCGTTGAAAGACCTTCATACTATATTTTCTCCCCCGGAATATAACGTCATACCTAAACGATAGGAAGTCAAAGAGTAGATGCACACTGGCAACAAATATAGTACCGCAGAGAAGGAAAGCGTTCGTGTCACCCTTTATACCTTTTAATTCATCTATATCCTTCTGGGAGAATCCTATAGTCTGCATCATTTGCATAGTATGTTCGACCATTAGCATTAAACGCAATTTTCCAATGCCAATAGGCTTATAATGAAATGTTACTTTCAACTCGGTGGTATTTTTGGTAACTTGTACCAAATTTTTTAAACGTGTATTAAAAAAAACATAAAAATAAATCAGTCTTAAAGATTGGCATTATGGACAAAAAAGAAAGTAAATACGGTTCTCTCTCTGTCAGAAGTTACCAGTTTTAGTCCGAGAACTTTTTGCTGGTAAATTCTGGTAAATGTGTCAAACGATCAGCTGTAGTGTGTTTGGCAACCAAATTGTAAACAAAAGAAAAGTGCACTCTGCTTATTCATGTTGAAAAGTATTTAATTACTTGTTTAAGTGGATTCTAATGAATTTGAAAGTATTTTTGGTTATTTACATGTGTGAGCTGTGTTTACATACCAAATAATGAAAAATTTACAACCAAAATTTGGAGGTTATGTTGAAGTTGACAGAAGTTACCATTTTTTACTAGAAAGCGATCCCGTACTTTCCAATGTTACTCTCTCGCTCTGAGCGAATTTTTATTTTTTGACAGTTTTACTAGTCTGAGTCCGAGGAATACGGGATTGCACCGCTTGATAACTTCACAATTTCGACAACTAATGACTCTCATTTATTTAATTTTTGTTCTTCACTCCCCAAAGGCGCTATTGACTCAGTATTCACAAAGCGTCCCGCACATAGCTCCTTAACAAAAAAATAAATACATATATATATATATATTGACTTATTTATTTCAATACAGTGTGTATAATATTAATAGTCCGACGCCGAGTGTCAAAAGTACTGGATATTTTAAATAGGTACCGAGTAGGTATGAATACTCATATGTGTTGACTCAGCACATTTCTAATATAAGAACGTAAATTTCAATTTACGCTCTTGGTTGACAGCGCAGCCAGGGTTAGGACTGCCTACGATCGGTAAACTGAAAATCTACTACGCAACTCGATACCGGCGAACTACTTAGATTTGCTCGGGACAAAGCAAAGATTATTAAATATGAATTTCCTTTTAATAAAATCATGAGTTATGGCCCTCTAACTTAGTAATATTCAAATAAAGCATTAAGTTGTTATACTCCCAAGCACATATATAAGTACTTGCGATTTAGCGAAGTTCCGCACAGAAATCAAAGTCGATAACAGTGTGTCGATGCATAAACATGAGGTGCTCCACACTCTTTATGCAAAAGTCATGCAAGATTATGCACACTATCACAAAACAGTGATATATGAGACCACCCGTACCATAAAATAACTGAACATATTAATCACGAAATTTATAATAACCACATATAATTAAGTTTTTTTTTGCTACTCGCCACCCAACCATAATATATGTATATATACAAGTGCGTATATCTATATAGCCAAATATACAAAGGGGAAAAATGATGATTTCAGATATCAACGATGACTTGCTTCACCTCGATGAGAAAGAAGGCAGAGCAACAATCGAACCGCTTTGCTCTAGCGTGCCGTTTATGCCAAGGTATGCATCCGATACGGCTCTGTCCATCATTCCGCGGGAAAACTCCCGAAGAGAGATTGAGGGAGGCGCTGATTGGTCGCTTCTGCGGAAACTGTCTGTCCATGAAACATCGGTCTGGCGAGTGCACGAGCGAAGAAAGATGCCGTCGATGTCGCGAAAAGCACCACACAACACTGCACATGAACGACGAATCCGAATCTCCTCAGCCGATCGACGGAAGACCATGGAGCGAGCAAGTGGCCAGTGAAGACGAATCTGAACCTCCTCAGCCAATCGATACAAGACCATGGAGCGAGCAAGTTGCTAGTGAAGATGAATTTGAACCTCTTCAGCCGATTGACCCGACACCGTGGAGCGAGCAAGTTGCCAGTGGAGACGAGTCCGAACGCGTGTTATCTATAAACGCGTCCGACTACGGAAATGAAACCAGGCCCCTCCGCCCGGAAGACGAAGTAGCAGAATCCACACCGGAAACTTGGGCTCTCCGCCCGAGTATAACCAGGGGATCGGAAACTCGGCTTTTCCGACCACTGTTAGCACACGAGCGACGCCGGGAACGTGGATCGGAAACACGGCCTTTCCGACCGCGGTCAACAGCCCGGCAGAACCGCAGAGCGGAAACTAGGCCTTTCCGCCTGCGGCAAAGGCGAGAGGAGTCAGACAGGCCCAATCGCGATCAGGGTAGACTGGAGACGAGGCCTCGCCAGCTACCCATTGCATTTCGAGCGGGTCGACTCGCACGCGAAACCCAAGCGTTACGACCGGTGACCTCTATTGCTCCTACGGTCGTGGTAAAAGTAGAAGCTCGTGGACGGCTGCACCTTATACGCGCGTTAATCGACGTATGCTCTCCGTCTTCGATAATTTCAACAGATTTAGCGGTAGAACTCAGGCTTGACGTTTCAAATTTCGGAACCCAACGTGGCTGTCTACTACGTCTGAGGGGAAAACACTGCCAGAACACCAGGTTGGCTATCCACGCCACAATGATAAAAAATTACGTTCGTGTTAGCCCCACTAGTAGCGTCGATCCATCAGTAGCGACAGCGTATACGCACATACGATTAGCGGATCCAAACTTTTATACGTCTACTCCGATTCGCTTAGTATTGGGAGCCGACGTATACCCAGACATCATACTGCCGGGTATGCTCCCAAATACGTTTGGTCCCTTTATCGCGCAAAGCACCATTTTTGGATGGATGCTCTCAGGAGTATGTCGCTCTTAAATTCCATTTTTGATTTTCTTTAAACATGAATTTTTAACTGAATTTTGAAATTTTTTATGAATAATTGTGCTCTGAAATGTTCAACCATACCTTTTTATTAGTATTTTTTCCTTTTATCCTTTCATTAGCTAGGAAACTAAGACGTGGACCACCGGAACTTGGAGGCATCCTTCCACTGGAAACAATAATAATCTTTTTTTCTCAAATGAGTTGTTATTTTACATATGTTTAGACTGGTTTTTCTACTTCTTAGTACTTAGTCCGGCGTGGTGGCTGAAGCGCTCGACCGACGTTGCTGATAGCAAGCCGGCATGTTTAGGCCTTCATGCAAAACTAAATAATTTAAAGGTAATGTAAAAGTGCATTGACTTGAGCCGAGCACACAAACATACTCTGGCATATATACGGCCTACCTTTATT